GCGGTTCAGGGCTGTGTGCCTTTAGACCCCAGTTCACATTTCCTCACATACGTAAAAACTTGCAATTTTCATGCTCTTCCTCCTTTTAAAACTTCACAATTTCTTGTGCTCAATTAACTTAATGCACTGATGCTTCCTCACTTAAAAGAAAAACAGCTATTGAATTCTATGTGAGCTGTAGGAAATATATTGTGAGGATAAACGTATGTTTTTCTCTGTTTTCTTAAAAAACTGGGTATGAAAAACTTTAAACACACACATATTCTGCCAAAAAGTTCAAGACCTTCTACCAGGGACAGCTGTTTACAGTAGACAACACACACTCCTGAGCTCATACCCCGGAGCTGACTCAGAACCAGATATGGTTCAAATAATAGTGTTCCGGCTCTTAGATCAAATACTCAAATAGTATTCCTTTTCCCCCATCATGTCTAGCAATTTCTTTTAAAGCACTGTAAGGATTTTTTAAATAGAAAAAAGCAGGGTACAAAATTGTATATACAGTGGGTTATCAATTAAGTTTAAATACATATATAAATATATATGTTTTAAAATACGTAAAAATATGCTTAGAAAAAGACAGAAAGGAAATATACCAAAATGTCAACAGTGGTAAAGTTGGAGTGATGGCATGATGAGTGAAATTGATTTTCTTCTTTATACTGTTTCATATTTTCTAAACCTTTTATCTTTTATTTATTTATTTATTTATTTATTTTTGGCTCTGTTGGGTCCTCGTTTCTGTGCAAGGGCTTTCTCCAGTTGCGGTGAGCGAGGGCCACTCTTCATCGCGGTGCACGTGCCTCTCACTGTCGCAGCCTCTCTTGTTGCGGAGCACAGGCTCCAGACGCACAGGCTCAGTAGTTGTGGCGCACGGGCCCAGCTGCTCCGCAGCATGTGGGATCTTCCCAGACCAGGGCTCGAACCCGTGTGCCCTGCATTAGCAGGCAGATTCTCAACCACTAGCGCCACCAGGGAAGCCCCCTTTTACCTTTTAAAATTCTAGCTTAAAGTAATTCAAACCTGTGATAAACCATAATGGAAAAGAATATGAAAAACAATATATGTACGTATAACTGAATCACTTTGCTATATAGCAGAGGCTAACACAACATTGTAAGTCAACTAGACTTCAATGAAATTTGTTTTTTAAAAAGTAATTGAAACGTACAAAAATGACGTGACAGACATATACATACCCACCACCAGACAAGATACAAACATTCTGCCAGACTGGCTTTAGATATCTTAAGAATGCTTTTTGAAAATTAAATGTTATACAGACATAGCTAAAGCCCTCCCCAACCTTACCATTTTCTTTTCTTCCCTTCTCCGAGGTGTGATCATTCCCATGCATGTTTCTGTACTGGTACTATTTAGGTATGTACATCCATGACAATATAAAATTTGTGCGTGTGTTTTAAAATTTTACATAAATGATGTTATATTGAATGTATCCTTTTGCGACATTTAAAAGACTCAACAGTCTATTTTTGGAATTTATAGGTGATCTACATACAGAATATTCATTTTAATTGCTTTATGATATTTTGTCATATGAATTTTAACCACAATTTCTTTATTCCTCTACTGGTGGCTGATTTAGATTTTTTCCAGTTTTTTAAAATAATTGCAAACAATGTTAATGACTGTCCTGCATTATGTCCCAATGTTCATGTCCCTGGCGTACCTAGAAATGGAACTGATAGGTCATAGTATATGTATGTTTTCAGTTTTATGGGATGTTGGCAAATTGCTTTCCAAAGTTATAAAAGTGTACCAAGTTACACTCCCACAAGCAGTAAATGAGAAATCTTTGTTTCCCCACATCCTTACTAATACCTGCTATTATTTGCATTTGAAATCTTTCTCCAATTCATTGGATGTTTCCCGTCTTGTAAGGTTGATGATCTTTTCACAAGTTTATTGATCATTCAGGTTTCTTTATATTGATTTGCCTTTTCCTCTCCTTGGCCTCCTTTTTGGTTAGGCTGTTTATTGTTTTTTTTTTTAAGTTGATTTGTAGGTGCTTCTTAAATATTCAGAATACTAATCCTTTAATGGTTGTGTTAAGTTTTTGGAAGGTTGGATTACTTTTAGAATCACTAAAAATCATTTTTTAAGTGGATTTGATCTTGGAGAGGCAGCAGTAAGTGGTGGTGTGAAGCAAGATCTTAATTCCCTGCCCTGGAATTGAACCTGGGGAGCTTGGATGAAAAGCAGGAATCCTAGTCACCACACCCCCTGGATCTTGACCCCAGTGAAAAATGCATTTCTCACGGAGGCAAAAACTGTAAAAACAGGTACAAAGTTTATTATTAGAGACACAGCACAACAAGTGGGAGAGCATACAGAGAAACATTTTGCTTAGTTAAGACAGAAGCAGGGCAGAGATGCACACAGGGAGAGATAGAGTGTGGGTGTCCCCCCTAATGAGGAGGGGCCCAGTAAAGAGGTGGTGAAGTCATTCATATAGGGCAGTTCTTCCAGGTCTGTTTACCTTTGGCCAATTACCTGGCTTCTTTTTCCACGCGTGACCTGCCCTAGGACCCTCCTGAGCATGTGTGTGCAAATTTTTTTGCAAGGTGGTATTTCAGCCCAGAGGCCTATGGGACGGCCTTAGCATCACCTGTCATGGAGTCATGCCCCCTCCTTTTTTGACCCCCAAGGAGCCTTTCTGCGCATGTGCAATGTCTCCCTTGCCCCAAGGATGGGAAATATGTGACCTTTTGATCCTTTACCCAAACAAGGGTTAGCCCCTCTCTGTTCCTGCCACGACTGTTATCTTCAGGCGTCCTCAGGAGACAAAGCCTGGCTATTTACCTTGTTTCTGTTGTTACTTCCATTTCGGAGAGCAAACAGGAGGCTGATTTTAAATGTCTAACCTGGAGCCCATCTACGTCCTAATGCAAACAGGAGACTAGTTGTCAGTGTCTGGCCCAAAGCTCACTTTTTCCTGCTCCATGAAATGTACACGGGAGGCCAGTTGTAAATGCCTAGCTTGGGACCCATCTATCTCCTGCCTCAGATTCAAATTTATGTCTTTCCTCTGAATCTTAAGCTGATGTACATGCTGTATCTCTTCTAGCTGCTGAAATGAGGCAAAATGACAAGATCGCATGCATATCAGAAGACCGGGAAAGGAGAGAGAGGAAAAATCTCTGTAAAGCTATCAATGATTTCCAACAGAGCTTTCAGAAGCCAGAAACTCGCCGTGAATTTGACCTCTCCAACCCCCTAGCCCTTAAGAAAGATCTTCCAGCCCGGCAGTCAGATAATGATGCTTGGAATACAATATCAGGAATGCAGAAATTCATGGGAGAGGATTTAAACTTCTATCAGAGGAAGAAATTCCAAGAGGAACAAAACAGGGAATGGTCCTTGCAACAGCAAAGGGAATGGAAGGTTGCCCGCGCCAACCAAAAATGCGCAGGTAATGGAACAAAAAAGACAAATGGGTCTCAGTACTTTCTTCAACAAATCAATTCCCGCCCCCCTTTTTTTTTCTTGTTTCGTTTTGTCTTTTAAGTCTCACTAATATGCTACTTTGGCCACGTGGCCAAAGAAAGAAACATGAGAACCCGGGTTCCAGGATTTAAACATCTTCAGCCACCTGCTCATCACGCAGGAAACACCTTCTGAGCTTGTGCTCTGTTCGGGCCCCAGTGCGATGCTGGAGTTCAGGGTAACTCAGCATCGGTCCCGGCCCTTAGGGTGTGGGCAAGACATAGGTCCAGCCTATATCAGTTCGTGTCCAGTAAGAAACTCTGATCACCCCCTGAACCTGGCCGTCCACCTCCATCAATGGGAGCTCTGTTCCTCTAGTTGCCCAGGCCCAAACCCAAGTCATCTTGACTCCTTCCTTTCCCTCAAATGCCACACGTAGTCCAGCAGCAAGTCATCCCAAATTCCAACCACCTTCACCATGTCCTCCACTACCACTCTGGACTAAGCAGCCAGCATCTCCCAACTGGATCATTGCAATAACCTCTAACTGGTCTCCTTGCTTCTGCCCTAGTCTCTCTATAGTCTTTTCTCAACCCAGCAGCCAGAATGATCCCATTAAAAGTTAAGCTGGATCCTTTGCTCAAAACCAATAGCTTCTCATTTTACTCAATAAAAACCAAATTTATTTCAAGGACCAACAAGTCTGACCTTACCTCCTGCGATGCTGCCCTCTAAACCCCTCTCCCCTGGTTCCACGGCAGACATTACCAATCCACAGGAGACATTACCAGGCCACAGTGGTGATTGCTAACACTGCCAGGCACCCATCTAAGAGCTTTACTTGAATTGACTCATGTCAATCTCCCACAGCCTTCCGATGCACCCCCTTTCTTTGGAGGGGGCCGTGATGAGAAACAGTTACTCCGCAGGGTGCTCTGCACATCTCGGAAGGATCTCTGGGCAGGCACGCAAGGTTTGATTGCGTTTTGCTTCCTTTCAGAGGATCTCTACCTGAAGACAAGGCTGCAGTTTGACGAAACAGCCAAGCATTTACAGAATCTGGAAAGCACCAACAGAAAGGCGGTTTGTGCAGCTGTGAAAGAATTCAACAAGAACCAGGTGTATACCCCAGGCTCTGTCTGGAGGGGAAGACAAACACACAGCCACCTCCCCGGCGTGCCCCGGCCTCCTTGGCTCATCAATGATAGCAATTCTTTTTTTTTTTTTTTTTTTTTTTTTGCGGTACGCGGGCCTCTCACTGTTGTGGCCTCTCCCGTTGCGGAGCACAGGCTCCGGATGCGCAGGCTCAGAGGCCCGGGCTCACGGGCCCAGCCGCTCTGTGGCACGTGGGATCTTCCCGGACCGGGGCACGAACCCGCGTCCCCTGCATCGGCAGGCGGACTCTCAACCACTGCGCCACCAGGGAAGCTCGGCAATTCTTTTTAATCCCTGCAACAATCGGCTGCTCTTATTAGTCACTGTGTTCAACAACCCTTTCAGAGGGGCGTGATTAACCCAATTTAATTGATAAAGAAACGGGCTCAGAGTGGGGAACTGACTTTCTTTGGGATGCCTAGGTACTAATCTGAGTTGCTTTGGCAGATTCAAATACTGGACTTCCAAATACCGCAAGTCCAGTATTCAAATCCCAGCCTGTCCAGCTGCAAAGCGTGGGCTTACATAACATAGTTCAGCTGACGACCTTGAGAGCACCTGCTGTGTGTGGGCACCTCAAAAAGCTCCCTGTCCATTCATTACTAAAGAGAACTGGTAACACTGACAAATGTCTCTTAATCCGTCTCCTGACTTTACGGAGAAATAACTGCAGCCCAGAGAGGGGAGGTGACTTGCTCCAGGTCACAGCCAGGGCCCCTTCCCTCCACCCATCATCCTCATGTGAATAGGGATTTGGCCAGGAATTTATTTGTCCCTGGGGCTGAGGTTGCGGGCAGTGGGAGCACCTTTTAGAAATCACCACTGCTGTGCATCACTTGGTTGGCTGTTCTTTGTGGCCCGCCACCGTCCAAGGGTGACCAGGACCACACAGAGTGGTACACAGCCCTGTCTTGGGGTGGGTGAGGCTAAGCCCAGGGGAGATGGCAGCCTAACAGGGGGAGGCAGCTCCCTGCTTTGGCAAATCACTGCAGACAAAGACGTGCAGCAGTTATGCACACGACCAACAGGTAGTGATTCCCTGAGCCCAGTCCACTCACCCAGCATCTCCCAGGCAGCTGGGGGTCTGAAGAGCCTCCCCAAATCCATGCCTGACAAGTCTACACCTCCCCCCATCCCCGGTGCCCTTGAGCACATTCTTCCTTCAAGGGCCCCAAGTGAGACTCGTCAGCCTGTGCCTCAGTCCCACCGGGGTCACTCAGAGCATCTCCCTTAATATCTTGCCCTGAGCAGGCCTTGGAGTCAGCGGAAAAGAAAATTCAAGAGAAAAAACAAGACCAAGAAGACAACCTGGCCGAGATCTCCAACCTGCTGCGTGGGGACCTGCTCTCGGAGAACCCCCAGCAGGCAGCCAGCTCCTTCGGGCCCCATCGCGTGGTCCCTGACCGCTGGAAGGGCATGAGCCGGGAGCAGCTGGAGCACATCCGCCTGGTTCAGAAACAGCAAGTACAGGAGAAGCTGGTGCCTGGCCCCCCCAAGCCCTCAGACGGGGCCCTGTGCTCCCTGCCACCTTCCTCAAGCATCTAGTTATAGCCACTGTCATGCTCGGCCCTAGAAGCTGCCCTCAAGGAGTCTGTGTTCTAGTGAGAGGACAAGCGCTAGGGAGGGCAGGAGACTGGGGAAGGGGCTGAGATTGCTGGGCGTGAGGAGGGTCATCAGGGGACCAATGGCTCTGGAACAAAGGGCTGAAGGTGGGGAGGGAGGCTTGCACGTGTCTGCGGAAAGGACGATCAGGCGGGGTGAAGAGCAAGGGCAAAGGCCTTGAGGAAGGGCCATCTTGACCTGTTCAGAGAAGGAGGCGTCTGGTGGCTGGAGTGGAGGGAGGGGAGAGGGTGGGGTGAGGTCCAAGAGGCAGAGGGTTGAGGGCCTGGCAGGCCACTGGGGAAGACTTTGCCTTTTTTGTGACCGAAATGGGGAGCTCTGGCGGGTTCTGAGCAGAGGAGAGACAGGATCTCACAGTTAACAGGATCCCTCCCGCCGCTGTGTTGAGGGTGGACTTAGGGGGATAAGGCGGGAAGGAGAGAGATCACTGGGGAGGCTGATGGTCGAGGTCAGAGATGGTGCTGGCTGAGGCCAGGGCGCTGGCAGCAGTGGTGCTGAGAAGTGGTCGGATTCTGGATGTATTTGGAAGTTAGAACCAACAGAATTGGCTGAAGGGTTTGGCATGGCCTATGAGAGACAGAGGAGTTAAGGATTACTGCAGATATCCTGGCCTGACCAACGAGGAGGAAGGAGTTGGCACTTACAGAGATGGAAAGACGGTGGGAGGAACAAGTCCAGGAGGGAAGTTCATGGGAGAATGGAAATCACAAGCGCAATTTTGGATATGTTGTGTGCAATGTTCTTTAGATATCTATGTCTGCTAGGATTCAGCTGAAAATCCCAAATAACACCATCTTAAAGAAAATAGAACTTTATCTCTTGCATGTAGACTAAATCCTTAAGAAAACAGCCCAGGGCTGGTATGGCAGCTCCACGACCATTGACTAAAATTCTGCCATCCTCATCACCTGGTTCCCACCTCTTAGTGCAAGATGGCTGCTTGAGCTCCAGTCAGCATATGCATATTCCAGCTGGCAGGAAGAAGGAGGGGGTAAGAACGCTAAGGACACTCTCTAGAAGTTTCCACTTACAAGACATTTCCATTTCCATTTCGTTGGACAACTCAGTCACTAGGTTGCCCCAAACTATAGAGAAGAAATGTAGTATTTATTCCAGGCAGTGAAGTGCTGGTGATTCTTTTATTAAGAAAGAAGGAAAAACGGCTACTGGTGGACAAGTTATATTTTCTGACACAACTTCCAAGTAAAGCCCAGCAGGCAGCTGGATATAGAGTCTGGGGCTCAGAATGAGATCTGGGCTGTAGACATAAACAGGAAGTCATCACTGCACTGAGAGTATTTAAAGCAGCGAACCTGGAGATCACAAAGGGAGTGAGTGTAGACAGAGGGACCCTCCCCTCCCACCCCCATCGTTTATAAAGAGCAAAGCGGCCTGAAAAGGAGCAGCCAGAGAGGTAGGAGGGATGTAAGCAGTGGTGAATTCAGAGGGAGCGTGGGAACCCCTGGGTCAAACGCCACTTCTGGGCTGCCGACTGGATGCAGGACCCAGCACTGGGCAGCCTATCTAATGGGCTGGAGAGAGAACAGGCAGGAGGGCAAGGAGACAGCAAGTGCAGACAATACTTTCAAGGAACTGTGCTGTAAAGGGCACAGAGAAATTCACCCCCAAGATCCTGAGCCATTGTCCTGGGGTGGGGCTGTGGCATCAGCACATTCTAGAAGTGACCAGAGGACCCCAGTGTCCAGCCAGGTGGTGCCACTGCCCACTGGTAGCATCCCAGATGCAGAGGACCTGACACCCGTGGGCCCTGCTTATGGGGCCCTGGGCTGGGAACCACTGTTGGAACTGAGACTCTGCTGTCCCTTCAGGCTCAGAGGACCAGCCAAGGCCTCCCAAGAGGGGGAATCAGCTGGGCCACCAGCATGATGACAGGTGTGTGTGTGGGGGGGGTCCTCTGATTTCCGACATGACGTTGCTCACCTACCTGCCCCCTTCTGGGCCTCAGTTTCTCCATCTGTAAAATGAAAGGCCGGCTCCTAGAGACAATCCCCTGGGGCTCTTCTGCTGGGGACAGGCGGTGGTGAGTCACCTCTCCTCTCTCCAGAGGCTCCAGCGAGACATGGATTGGGACAGGCAGAGGGTCCAGCGGGCTCGTGCCGCCTTGCTGCTTGAGCGACAGCAGCAGCGCCAACAGCATGACCTGCGCAGAGCCCTGGACTGCAACAACCTCGGCCTGGCCAAGGAGCAGCTTTCGCAGTCAGTGCCAGGCGGGGGCCTGGGCGGGAGCGGGGAGATGGGGGTACGAGTGGGGAGGGCAGGCAGAGGGGGCTGGGATCAGGTTAGGGTCAAGGGGGGTGGGTGGGAATTGGGGGCATCATCGAGGGAATCAGGCTCGGGGAAAGCGGGTGTAGGCGCTGGCCGTGCAGGGCCCATAGAGCAGGCACCGTCCTTTCCTGGACCCCTGGCTGTCCCTCCCTGATTCCTTCCCGCCCAAGGGCTCGGGACCCTTGGGGTGTATTTCACCAGAGGCCCTGTAGCAGCAGTGGTTGGGGCTATAGCATAGCCTCCTGGTAAAGAGAAGGGGAAGGACTCAGAGCTAAGAAGCCAGAAATCAAGTGCGAGGAAACCGTCGGTCCCCATAGAGACCAGGGATTGAGATTCCTTTGTGCTCTCAACCTGTAAACACCCCTCCTTGGACGGTCCTCACCTGGGCACTGGCGGACCCCAGCAGGCTCGGACACGGGTGCTGGTGATGGAGTACACGGGGGGCACCAGGAGTCCCAGGGGAGCGCACCGGGTGGGCTTCCGGGAGGAGGCTGCATGGCTCAGGCGTGGGGGAGGACAGTGCCAGCTGCCCACTGCAGGGAGGGCTCTCCGGGGAGAGGAAGGAGTTCCTGGGCTGCCCAGAACAAGTCTGGAGCCTCTTCCCCATTTCAGAAAGGCCCCAGGAGTAGTTCAGAGTTCCAGCTACAGAAAATGTCAAATGCAGATCAGTAGGTGAATTTGTCACTAAAAAAACCACAACCCATTATTTATTTACTTATTTATCTATCTATTCGTCAAGCTCTGGCTTGAACTCGGAGGGGAATCCACCAGTATTTTTTCCAATGTCTGTTTGGGGGCCTAAATAAGGAGAATTAAGAGAGAATCTCACAGAAATCAAATGGGATGAGCAAATGTCTTAACAGTCATGGAATTCTAAGATATCCCCACATTTCACGTGCGCAGGTCGCTAAACTAATCAGCAGTGACGAAATGCCCCCTTCCTCCCCCTTTAGCTCGTAGGGCTGGAATGCACTCTGTATCCTGGGGTTAACACACCAATTAAACAGTAGAATGTTTAGGAAGTCAGGCATTTGCTGATTTCGTTTTCTCCTTGTTTTATTATCAGGAAAAAATATATGAAGGAAATCTGTACAAATCATCTCACAGAAGATTATTTCGCACAATTTAATACAAGAAGTCGATAATGAAAAAGGCACCTTCTTTCCCTCTGAATCGTTTACCTATAAAGGGCAGTAACCTTGAAGAGTCCCATCTGTTAAAAAAAAAAAGGCACTCTTTGGTCCAGAAGTACCGTTGAACTTAATTTTTCCACCGTACACAAAACTTGATTAAACCCCTTCCTGTATTTCTATGAGGAGCATTAGTGTCCATCCAACTCAACTCAGACTATTTCTAGAGCAGCTCTGGTGCTGTAGATACAGGGAAGAAAGCCTGCGTATTAGACTCTAGGTTCAGCTGGTGCAATCGCCAATACTCACGGGCATCGTTTTACCCGCTTCACGTAGAATTAACTAATTTGGTTCTCACAGCAGCCCGGGGTGGGTATTTTTATTACTCGCATTCTCCAGGTGAAGAGCCTGAGCTATAGACACGTTAAGTGACTTGCCCAAGGTCACGCTGACGGGACGTGGTGGACCTGGGGTTGAACCCAGGGTGTCTGGCTCTCAACCACTTCTCTCTCCTGGCTCCCGGTAACACGACCCAAAACACGAGTGGCCAAAAGGCACAAGTTTATTTCCTCCTCTCGTCAGAGCCCCAGCTGAGCAGTGCTCCCTCATTGCTCTGCCATCTAGCATCCTGTGGTCCCGGAACGCTGTTCCAGCTCCCACCATCCTATCACATTCAGGCCAGCAGGCAGGAGAAAACGGGAAGGAAAGGGGTGAGTGAACGCAGCACAGCAGCTCGGCCGTGGATCCGGAAGTGTACATTTCACCTCTGCTCACACTCTATTGGTCAGAATTTAGTCATGTGACCATGCCTCGCTGCGGTGGAGGCTGGGGAGCCTTGCTGGCTAACCACGTGACAGGCAATCATTCCGCAATGGTATGAAAGATGGAAGAACACAGAGTTGGGGACGACTAGCAGTCTGCAGAGTCTTGAGCCGTGCTTTGGAATTTGCCAGTAGGGAGGTGAAGGGAGGCAACTTACACGGGGGGTGGGGGAGGGTATGTCCAGCAGTAACGGGGTCACTAGCTTCCAGGCCCAGATGACTGGGTCCCGACCAGTTACGTCTACCTTCTCCGTGTAGGCTTCTTGCAGGACCATATGCGTATGGCCAGTGACAAGTGGCAGCTCTCGGTGGCACTTCATCATTAGCCAAGGTGGAGCTGGATACACCAGTGCTGTAGCTGCTTAGCCCACATCCCTCTAAACACAGCTCCTCTTTCTCCCCGGCTGGAAACCCTTCACTGGCTGATGTTTAACCAGAGCCTGAGGATTGGCAGGGTTTTCCCAGGTGGATCAGTTGGAGCTGAACATCCTTCAGAGAAGCATGTTGAGGGTGTATAGTTTCCTGGAACTATCATAACAAAGTACCACACGTTGGGGGGCTTAAACAATAGAAATGTGCAGCTCCTCACAGCTCCGGAGGCCAGAATCCGGGACCAAGGTGTCGACAGGGCTGGTTCCTTCTGAGGGCCTTGCAGGAGAACCTGTTCCTGGCCTGTCTCTCAGCTTCTGAAGATTTGCTGATGACCTTTGGTGTTCCTTGGCTTGTGGATGCATCACCCACATCTATGCCTTCACCTTCACAGGGCATTCTCATCCCCTGTGTGTCTGCGTCCCAATTTTCCCTGTTCGTAAGGACACTATAGCCATATTTGATTAGGGTTCAGCTTAATGACTTTACCTAAACTGTATCTACAATGACCTTATTTATAAGATCACATTCTGAGGTACTGGAAGTTAGGAATCCAATACATCTTCTGGGAGCGGGGATGGAAGGGCACAATTCAACCCTTAATGGGGGAAATGCAGAGGGGCACCTGCCGCTTGCTTCCCAGGATAATCCCATTGAGAATGTTGCTGCCCAGGCTAAACAAGCCACGCTTTGGGGAGGGCCCTGGATGAGCGACGCCCTGTGTAGATTGTTAATCCTCCTGCAGTTGGGCAGGGAGATAAAGTGAGTGATGGGAGGTGATGTCAGTTCATTCAGTGAACATTGAGTGCTCTTCAAATCCTGGACGCTGTGCCAGGCCCTGGGCTAGGATCTCTCACAGTCTAGTGGGAGACCCATTTATGGAAGTAGGTCCTTGCACAGGAGTGGGAGGTGGAATCATACACCGGGCTGCTGGGCACAGGCTAGGAGGGAGATGGCGCTAGGAGGACCCTGCAGTCGTCAGTAATACCAATTATATGCCTGGAATCACAGGCCCAAAGTGGAGAGGCTTGCTTTGACTCTGAATTTTGCATCTTTTTTTAAAAATTAATTTTTATTGGAGGATAGTTGCTTCACAATGTTTTGCTTCTGCTGTACAGCAAAGAGAATCAGCTACATATACATATATACCCTCTTCTTTGGATTTCCTTCCCATTTAGGTCACCACAGAGCATTGAGGAGAGTTGAATTTCGCATCATTATAAAAAATATTCCGAAAGGAAGGCGAGGCGCAAAACCCGGACATTTGCTTGCTTTAAGTGCGCCCTCTGCTGGTGACTAGCAGCACAACACATTCCCCGTGGTTCTCAGGCAGGAAAATGAATGAACCCCAGGGATTAATTCAAGTAATTCAACTACCGCATCCCAGGCCCAGTGCTGGGTAGGTTGTTGCAACACCCGTGCACCCCTGGATGTTGTGATTGCCGTCCTGCCGAGAGAAGACAAAAGAAGAGAGGTTGAGTAACTTGCCTCCACCTGGTAGGCAGAGCCAGGTTCACGGTGTGGGACCCTCTCCATGGCTCCTCTGAATGGCCCCATTACGATTTTACAGACACACACACTCCAGAGGGTTTTGTTTTGTTTCTTGGTTTTTCACTTTTTCCCCGAACACTGATTATGAAAAATGTCACACATACAGAAAAATTGAAATAATTATACAATACACTCACACACCTACTACCTAGATTCTACAATTAATATTTTGCTAATATTTGCTTCATTGTCCAGCTCTCCACAAACTGGCTTTTAAAAATTCCAGTTATCAGGGAGGGGGAAGGGTAAACTGAGACGAAGTGAGAGAGTGGCATGGGCATATATACACTATAGATAAAATAGATAGATAGCGGGAAGCAGCCGCATAGCACAGGGAGATCACCTCAGTGCTTTGTGACCACCTAGAGGGGTGAGATAGGGAGGGTGGGATGGAGACACAAGAGGGAGGGGACATGAGGATATATGTATATGTATAGCTGATTCACTTTGTTATAAAGAAGAAACTAACACACCATTGTAAAGCAATTTACTCCAATAAGGATGTTTTAAAAAAACGAATATTTGATCTAATAAAATCACTCTGAACTTAAAAAATATATTAAAAAATTAAAAATATTAAAATTCCAGTTATATGATGCTTACAAAAGACACATCTAAAACAAAACAGCACAGAAAAGTTAAAATAAGAGGATTCAAAATTCATTTGACTTTATCCAAATAAGTTGAAAACTTATGTCCACACAAAACCCTGCACATGAATATTTACAGCGGCTTTATTCATACTTGCCAAAACTTGGAAACAGCCAAGATGCCCTTCAGTAGGGGAATGGATAAACAAACAGCAGTACAGCCATACAGTGGGATATTATTCTTTGCTCAAAAGAAGTGAACTATCAAGCCATGAAAAGACATGGAGGAACCTTAAATGCATATCACTGAGTGATAGAAGGCAATCTGAGAAGCCTGCAGACTGTATGATTCCAACTTTATGACATTCTGGAAAAGGCAAAACTGTGAAGACAGTAAAAAGATCAATGTATGCCAAGGATTTGGGGCGGGGGTGGGTGGGTGTGATAAATAAAGGGAGCACAGAGGATTTTTAGGACAGCAAAACTATTCTGTATGATGCTACAATGGTGGATACAGGTCATTATACATTTGTCTGAACCCATAGAACGTACGACACAAAGAGCAAATCCTAATTAAACTATGGACTTGAGTTAATAATGATGTATCACTATTGACTCATTAATTTATACAAATGTGCTACACTAAAGCTAGGTGTTAGTAACATGGGAAACTGGGGACGGGGGAAGTAGGTATATGGGAACTCTCTGAACTTTCCACTCAATTTTTCTGTAAACGTAAAAAATAAAGTCTAATTTATAAAAAAAGAAGAAGCCATGGAATACAGAGATGCTGTCACGGAGGTGCTGACACAGAGGGGGAAGGTCTAGTACATGTTTGGAATTAGGAGCAAAAGAAATATTAAACTAAATGCACAAAATATACGGTGCAGCCATGTCTAGACACCATGTTGTCTCTGGTGATTTTTGTGCCAATAAATGACATCAGAATTTTTTTAAAAAATAGAAGAAGCCATAAAATAGCAAAAGGAAGGGGGAAAAAGTCACTTGCACATTGTTCTTTATCTTTATTCTGAGTTCAAGTTCTAGTGTTCAGAATGATGGAGGGAACAACTGAAAAATGAAGGATTAGCCCTATGCTAAATAATTCAAGGATTCTCCTTCGTAGCCTCTGTGTTACTCCTGGCCTTGCCAGTCTGTTCTAGTTGAGTATGTGGAAACTGAATTCATTTGCAGACTAAGGGGTATAATCCTAGAACCGAATTCCTTTGTCTATCCTCTTATCCCTACTTTACAGATGGCCCAACAGAGAAAAAGCACATGCAGCGTTTCATGATTGCAACTGTAGACATGAACTGTGCACCTTTATTCCTCTCTAGGGCCCACTGCCCTCTTCCTCCTTTGTCCTAGTATCTGTTTGTGGATGGTGTTGTACAACCAAGAGCCTTTGTATAATCAAGACCCTGAACACTGCATAGTATCTTAATGGCAAATACGAATATTTAAATCCTGGGTCATTGTTTCACCAATAGAACATCTTTACTGATGAAGGAATATAAACAGAAATTGCACACAACACAGTTTATGTGTTCAATAGTGTGTATCTTTGCACACATCAGAAACATCGTTTTGGTTCTCAATGTTTTTACTAGTATCTTTCCCTGCCTATTTTCTTTGGATTGCCCTCCTTTAGGAAAACCTAGCAAAATTATGTTACTATTACTAGTCACTACTCAAGGGTCAGCGCTTCTGACTTTGCTAAAGGGTAGATTGGCTAAAGAAATAATTTGGAAACATTTTTTATTTGTCAGTGCCTCCTTACCTGTTCA